TATGTTAAAATTCGTAGCATACTGGGGATGGTGAAGCATGGGAAGACATTTATATAATATACACCTCTCCCGGCCCAGTGTTTGAGACACGCGAAATGCCATTCAACGCGGCTTTTCCTGCTGATGGGGATCTAGACATTCTTTCCGTATCCTCCTAATATAATTAAAAATCTTCTAATGAATAAATACGAAAATACTCTGAAAACAATTCATTGTGTCGGAAACGACATTCTAAGCTAGTAGATACAAGTGAACTATGAAAGAATGAAAGTAAATACTAAATAATGTCTGTACACCTTGGATAATATAGGATGATTCTTCGAGCATTGGGGACGCACCAACTACTTTGCCACGCTCGTTGGTCTTGTTTGCAACACAGTGGAAATTCGCCACTTCGCCGGTTGCGGTCGTAAAGCTGACTAGAAACAGTTTGCGTTACTCAGATCGCTACTGTAATACACTGAATAAAGCGTGTTTTGGGGGACTTAAAAGCGTAAAAGTGAACTTATCGAGCATTTTTTCTTGATACTCTGCTCAGCGAGGCTCGACACAGTCCAACAGTGTGGTCCAACCTGAAGCTGCATGCGGCCCTTTTATTCATTTTGTTGGCACTTGCCCTTCTTACTGGATAAAAAAATTATTTAAACGTTTGAAAAATTCATATGCCCTTCTTCCTGTTTTGAGTTTATATAACAATAAATAGAAGAAATCGCATGTGTGCAAAACCGGCCCTTCAAGACAGTCGTTAGAATGTGAACTAGTTGGCAGTATTCAGGAAAAAAATAACGAAATGCCTTCAGCAGTATTGGCAACAGCAAATCAGAACAGAGTAAGCTGGTGTCTGTTAACAGTACTACCGCTTTAACTACGCGTAGGATTTTTTCAAATTGAAAAAAACCGTGTCGATCTGGCTCGACTCGAATCTTTGAGATTTTGCAAAAAAATCTTTAAAATTTAGGGGTACTTTACATGAAGCCCTCCAGACATTTTCAAAATTGCCTCAAAACGGCTCATAATTTTTTCTTTAAATTTCTTGCAAGAATAGAGTAAAATATATTTATAAAGATGGCGTAACTCCGAATTTCATGTTTAACTCTAAATTTTCGAAAATTTCAAAAATTCAAATTTTCAAAATTTCGGGCGTCTTTTTACAACTACAAAATTGAAGATAGAGATTTGTCCTTCAAATAAAATTTGTTCTTTAAATAAAATTTGTTCTCCATAGTGAGTTCTCTCCATAGTGAGTTCATATACATTCAGGTCATGTATATATTTTTTTAAAAGTTTAGTAGATTTCGCGCAATATATACAATTTCAAAAAAATATAAAAACAAGATTTTCTCAAAAACGGCTGCAAATTTTTTCTTTAAACTTTTGGTAGCGATAGTTTTCAATGTACTCTATAGTATGACATAAACGCCATATTGCTCTAGTATTTGTTTTTTCAAAATTTCAAAAAGGTAATTTTTTGATTTGCCTCTCATGTTGTTAATATTTATATTAACGACAATTTGGTCACATTATTGTTTATGAGTACATGTTCTTTACATTATGTTATATGAAGTTTCTCGAAAACTCTACCGTTTTTTGTGAAAACTAACTCAAAATTCCGCATTTTTAGAAACGCTCAAACGCAATTTTCTTAAAGAACGGCTCCAATTTTTTCTTCAAATATTTTGAACGAATTGTGCTTATTCCAGTCTTTAATATGACGTAAAGTTAATTTTGGTGTATTTTTATTTTTTCAAAAATTACACAAATGTAATTTTTTGAAAGACTGCTAGGTATCTCCGCTAGCGAGGAACCACCCCAGCCTGGACAGGCTAAAGCTTCCGACTGGTTTCCCGTCGTGTGCAGTAGTGCAGTGCATGTAAATGTGTGTGGGGTCGTATGTTTGTAAAGGGAGAGAAGCAAACATTGCTGTGAAAGAGGAGATAGCGTTCGAAATCTGTTCCGTTTGTTAAAGTACTGCTCCAGCTTTCGTCTGGTAATGAGAGAAACCTGCAAGAAACCACTGAAAACTACCGATCAGAGCACTTGACACCTAGAATTCTCCTTCAGCCAGCGGCTGAATTCGACCTCGCACGAGTCAAAAATCCGGCATCGTCGAGACTCGCACCCTAGGACCTCCCGGTGCGCGCACTTGAGAGGGTACTCACCGCGCGGGCGTTGGCGGCCGCCGTGGGCGTGGAGGGGGCGACGGTGGCCGTGAGGGCGCTGGCGTTGGCGGCGCGGCGGCCGAAGGGCGGCAGGTCGCGCGGGCAGCGCGGGGGCAGCGGCGGGGTGCGCTCTCCGCTGGACTCCTCGTCCCTCGGCGGCGGCGGCGGCGGTGGCTTGGCCTTGCCTGCGTCGCTGGCGATGTTGTCGATCTCCGTGTACATGTGGTGGCGGCCCCGCATCCCTGTGCCGGCGCCGGCGCCGCCGGCCGAGGTGGGCGACAGGGACGGCGGCGACGACGGGGGCGGCGCGGAAACCAGCAGGCGGCGGCGCGCCGACGGCGGCGGCGACGCCATGCGCAGACGCTCCACGCCGCGGTTGGCGGGGCTGTCGACGAAGCATCTGGAAACGAGGCGGCGGGCGTCGCTTACAAAGGGCTCGGTGTGAGAGCGAGGACGCGGCGAGATGCAGGCGAAAGCCGCTCTGCCCTAATGGACGGTAGGGCCCGTCGGCGCCGGTTAACCCGAAAAGAACCATGCCGATTGAAGTAGATAGCCCTTGAAGTGAATAGGCACACAAATATGTGAAGCAGCGACGGCGGCTTGGGTAGAAGAACTCGAGAGCTGCACAACTCTCTGCCGTTTTTTATACTTGTTTTTATTATGAATAATTTGTGACGAGAAATCGCGTTACCCCAGCTTCAGACAAACTTAATTTTTCTTTTACCCTTTTTAACCTGATTATATGTGAAACAAGTTAAATTTTATATAATTATTATTATTTATATTCATGAGCATCAAAACGGTAGAAAAACAAGTGTTTGGAAGATTGGTTGAGCAAGGGCTGAAGAGATCCAAAATCCATGTCAATTTTCAATTATAATATTCCGTTTTAAGAATAGTTTGTGGCGAGAAGATATGTCATTCATCCCCGAGAGAAGCTTCATTTTACTGCGCTGTTACTATTTTCATCAGATGTGAAACGAAAGTCACAATACTTAATTCGCAAATATACAAACCCGAGCGTAACCCATTTAACGTTGAGATATTTCTCCTAAATGCCACATAGTGAGTATTTTTTTAATAACCGAGATAATAAAATAAATTTTTCAAAAACTGAACACCACGTTTGGCAAAACTGAGCTGTAGTCCCTATAGATTTCAAGCTCTTCATCACGCGCTTAAGTGCGTGTAGATAAGAGATGAGTATAAGACAAGGAAGAGAAAGAAATATCGTGCGCGGTCCATGGCCCGTTTTGTTAGGATACCGCTTTGGCATTCGCCTGGCGTTCATCGGAGAAACGGGAATCTACCGATCAGAGAAGGTGGCCACTAACATTCTCCGCCAGACAGCGGATGATTTCGACCTAGCTATCTAGCTAGTGTCGAAAATCCGGCCACCATCGGCAAGCCACTACCTCCCTACATCGGCAAGCCCTACATCGGCAAGCCATCGAAGCCACTACCTCCTGTAGTGCTATGAATTGAATCCTCAAGCTATGTAAGCTGGTTTGCCAGCTGAGCTCTTCTGATTTCTACCTTAACATTTCGAACCTGGATGATTTATTAGTACGTAGCGGCTCATCGCTGAGTAGACCGCTTTTGGAGTTTGACGGTTGATAAGGGACAAAGAAAGACGTGGCAATCAACATAAAGCAAACGTTCGAAATGTACACAAAACGGTCTCTTGCCTCGTTCCTATCTCGGAAAACGCCCGAAAAAAATTGTCAAACCCTTTAGGAAAACCTTGAAAACGAACAGAGAAGATAAAAGGTAAAAGGGAAAGTGGTATGTGGATTAGGATTGTGAAGAAAAGATAAGGAGAAATGCACATGACTCTTCCAGTCTGTGGAAGGATAAAATGTTATTAAAGTTTAAGAAGGCCGCAGAATGAAAAGAAAGTTTTATTAATAAGATGGAACAACTTGCGGAACGCGGAATATTAGGGTTTATAGTTTGATTTTCTAACACAATCATTCACATATTTGAGAATGTGTTCAGTAAATAATTATTTGCGAAATTTCATATCGCTTACGTAATAAGGGCGTTTACTGCTATTCTGAGGACTTTATTTTAGAAAACTTGAATTTTGTTGACTGATGTAGTGATTGATGTCCCAACCGGGACATGCTCTAAGCTCCCGACTGTTCTCATGTAATTGTATAGTGCATGTAAGTGTGAGGATGTAAGTAAGAGGTGAGGAGGAAGAGGAAAGAAAAATCGCACGCGGTCCGTTCGTTAGAGTGATTCTGGACTCCTCAACGGCTAAAGGTCATTGGTCTCGAAAGTGTAGTGCATTTTTTTGCCTCAGGAGGTGGCGTTGATCTTGTCCCACTGGGTGAAGTGATACGGTGCCCACCTACCGTCGCGCCGGCTAGCGGGATTTTCCCCAACCAGAAATCTCCCACCAGCAGGACACCGCTCTATTAGGGACATGTTCTAAGCTCCCTACTGGTCTCCCGTCGTGTGTGGTTGTGTAGTAAATGAGAGTGTAAGTAAGGGGTGAGGAAAGGACAAGAAATGAAAGATCGCGCTCCGTTTGATAGTGTACTGTTTCAGCATTCGTCTGATAGGAAAGAAACACGGAAAACTACCGATCAGAACAGCCGGCCGCTAGAATTCTCCTCCAAACAGCAACAGAACGCGACCTAGCTATCTGGCTAGTGCCGAAAAATCCTGCCACCGTCGGGACTCGAACTTCACGACCTCCCGTTCGGGGGCACTTCAATGACATTGGTTGATGCCTTGAGTCGCGACCCCCGGACCCTCAGCCGATGATGGAAGTTGCAGATCGCGCGTCCGCAGGCGAGCGGGGGCTGCTCACCTGTCGTAGTCGCTGGAGACGTTGTAGGCGGAGGCGCCGAGGGGCGGCTCGCGGCGCGCGGGTGACGCGGGAGTGGCGGATGCGGGGGCAGAGGCGCCGGCGCGGCCGGCGGCGTGGGTGGGCGCGGGGGCGGCGGCGGGCGCGCGGTCGGTGTCGCCCCAGGGGCTGTGCTCCACGGTGTCGGGCGCCGTCCACAGCGTGGGGCTGGCGGGGCCGTCGGAGTCGGGGCTGAGAGGGCCGTCGAAGCACACGTTCTCGTGCCAGTTGTAGGTGATCACTGCAACACGGAAAGAACGCCGTTCTGAGACACATGGAAAGCGATCAGGTTGGAAGCACTCGTTACAGCGAGACAGGGACTTGAGATTTCCCCTCTGGAAACAGCGATTGTTAAAAACAACTCATTACCACAAATACTCAGATTCAGATTTAGTTACCTAAACTCCCTAGTTCCAGTTTTAGCATAAGCATCCCTTTTTTATTACAATGCAAATTGTCTAAAACACTGAGGCAGATAACTTTGGGCAGCCTCGAGGATGATGACGATAATGATAACAATAATATTTAATAATAATAATAATAATAATAATAATAATAATAATAATAATAATATACTAAGAATACGTTTATTAAGATATTCTGGGAAGAGAGAGATAGTGAATGGCACTAATAAACCAATGAAGAAGTTTCAACTTGCTCTTTAAATGGCCGCTAGTGGTGCTAGAAAGCACATAATTTCTGGCATGATATCTAATTGTTGCAATTTTTGAAAATTCAGAGAGTTCAACGAAAAGCACGTCTGAGCAAATAATTTAATCCTTCTTTGCTCTATCCGAGAAAATATCTAAGGAAAAATTTTGAGAAAATATTTGTCGTTTTGAGAAAATATTTTTAAAAAATTGCCTAGTTTTCACCCAAAATCACACGAAAACTACTCACATTTTCAAAAAATTATGCATGCCCTTCTTTAACGATCTTTCTTTGAAGAACATTTCATTAAGGAATATTGTACTTGTTGGAAGACACCGGAAAAATATTGAGCTTTTGCAACTTATGAAAATTCATAGTTCAACGAAAATGAGACCTGCGCCATTTTTAATCGTCCTTTCCTCTACCCGAGAAAAAATATTAAAAACTCTGAGCCATTGTTAGGAGACTTTGAAAATAAGTTCAAAGCTATAGGAAAATTATCTCCAAAAATCAAAATATCCATTACAATAACGCAGGGCCTACAGTTCGGACAGATCGATGGGTGAATATCAGTTTTACAGAAAATCCTCTGAACGGTTTAGGGGCTATGTTTTGTGGCACCGAGACAATACTTTCTCTAGTATATTACGTATGTATTATGCGTGAAAGTACGTACGGGAAAAGAAATAACAATATATTACATTTTTAAAAATCCTATTCTATAATAATTTGAAGATAACTGGAAGATGATAAGGTCGAGCGATATGTAAGAGAATATTAACTACTACTACAACAATAATAATAATAATAATAATAATAATAATAATAATAATAATAATAATAATTATTATTATTATTATTATTATTATTATTACTATTATTATTAAAAGCAGAATAATGGAATGTTATTATATTTATAATCATAAAATATAATTGACTAATAGTGATAATATTATCTATATTAATTTATAATGCGTGCAGAAATTGAAAGAAATCTACGTAACCTCCCATCATGTAAAAGGTGTCTATGGTTCGTTAGATACCAAGGAACTCGGAAAAAATCCTAAATAAATGAAACAGATTCGATTTTGACTAGAAATTGCGAATAATTATTGTTTTTCCGCCTATTCTCTTAGTGCGCAAACCGGCTGAATTCTCATACTCAGTGCGTTATTGCTACCGATGCACGTGACGTCATGCAGTAGCAAACCTAATAAAAAGATTTTTTGATGTTTAGTTGATATACTAATTGCTTCAAACCACATTCACTTTAAGCGGTGTAAGCGATTCAACGCACGCTCGCTCACGTGAACAATAAAATATGATAAGATAATGCAATTTGTATGGATGTATACTACTACTATAAATGCACGAGTATCTCAAACAATGCGTGAGCAAGACAAGCAAGTTGCGCTTATTATGCTGTACGATGTACAACGAACTTGTTATCAGTGAAACAAAGGTTTGAAAAGAAATTCAAATTTTCTAGAATGTGAATACAAGTGTTATCAGTATGGTAATAGAACTGAACGACAAGTTTTCATCTAAATGCATCTAAATGCACGCTAAAGAATTGAGAAACAATACTGTGTTTGTTGTCTTGCATATGACCATACATATTAATATCTACTGCAATCTAAATCTAGAATGCGTATTTTAAAGTTTCTTTCAAAATTGTTGATTTTAATGACAAGTTTTGTACAACAAGATCGAAAAGAGACTCCATGTTCGCATATTATTATATATTCAGATAACTCTAAACAATCATCTCAGCAACAAGAATACGTTTTGTCCTTCACCTGTGTTTGTGACAACATTCCAAAACATATGAATTGCAAACCGTTATTGTCTAAAGCCTATTTTACACGTCCATTTATTAATACGTTTTCATAGGTGCAGATAAATAACGGACCAGACGGGATGTAATTTGTACAGAACTAGTGGTGCTAAAACAGCACGTACTTTTTCGCCCGTACTTTCACGCAAAATTACGTAAAAATCACTCACGTTTTCAAAACATTGTACTGACCTTATTTCAAAATGTATCTTTAAGGAACAGATTTCATTTAGGAAAACATCTTTATCTTCATAATTAGAGTTGTAGGTTGTTTAAAGTTTTGATTTTCGCAATTTCTTTTAAAAAATCAGAGTTTTTAAAGCAAATGTGATCTACACCATTCTTTTCAACGTTCTTCTCACCAACTAACAACAAAATTTAATAAAAAACGGTGGAGCCATTTTTTTGAAAATTTTAAAAATGCCCCAGGGGCTTCATGTAAAGCACCCTCAAAATTAAAATATCGGTTTCAAATTCAAGGGGCCGTGACATCGGCCAGATCGACCACAGAATATCAATTTTGGACAAAAACGGCTGAACGGTATAGCCGCTAGTGTTGTTGATAGTGTTGCTAAAGGACAGATGGATGGACGGACGGACGGACGGACGGACGGACGGACGGACGGACGGACGGACGGACGGACGGGCGGGCGGACAGACAGACGTTTTGCCGTCATACGATTTTTTGGTATCAATGACCCACAAAACATGAATTGTGGCTGCACCATTGGTTGGAGGATGTCACCCCTATAACTTTAGCTGCACTAAACGTTCTGCAATCGTGCGCCGGAAATGATAGATTTTTCTACAGAAAACATCTATTCACTGGCCCTAGTAACGAAAAAAATAATATATTCTGTTCTTAAATGTGGTAAATTTCATCATCTAGCACGTTGTTTAATCAGAATCCATCTGGTTCTCGATATTAAAAAATCGATTGACGGCAAAAAATATATTGATCGATTGATCTGTCCGTCTGTGTGAGGTCAATTCTACCGGCTAAACCGTTCAGACGAGTTGATTGTTTCCAAAATTGATATTTCTTGCTGGATCTGAACGAACCCCAAGTTTGAAACGAAAAAAGCCCTGCGAGTTTAAACCGTAAAAAAGGATCATCTACAGTTTAAAAAAAAAAGTAGTTTGCATGTAATTTCTCCTTGATGTTAATGCAATTTATAAAAACACGTTTCTACAAAATAGATTCCAAATTTTTTCTTTACATTTTTTCATGGAATTTTAAAGAGTGCTTAAATAACATAGGTCTTCTTTTCGTTGATCTCTCTGAAATTGCAAAAGTTAGAAATTGTGCGAGAAAGTGTGTGCTTTGGAGCACATCTAGTTTTTTTTTTTCCTTTTAAGATTTAATTCAACAAACTTCATTTCATGCAGTAAATTATTATTTTGTTATCCGTAAAAATGGACTCTATGATTTCGTGTTTTAAAAACGTAAATCTTTTCGTATGTCCTATTCGTTTTTCTCCGAGACAACTTTTTTCTTTCCGGCTTCTACACCCAATAATTTCACCCATATTACTTATGCAGATGAGAACGATGTTTTCGTCCATTAGAAATCTGAATGTTGTAAGTTTCTAAGACCAAAACAATTTAAGTACTACATGCTTAATTCATAGCTTTTACCTGTGTGAAGATAACTGTGGATGACTTTCTACGAAAAGAAACTATTACATGCAATTTCCCATGTTCCACGTTTCTTAATATTGAATTTTCATCGGGATAAAGCCAAAATTCTTAGCGGCAATTTTATCCCGATTGCTTCCCGGTTACTTTGCTCCAAATGTGTACTATTTCATAGTTGTATTGTACATGAAATTGAATATTTCTATCGACTGTTAGGTTGCCACGAGTTTCCTTTCATCCTTTTACATAGACATGAAATAGATAATTGAACAAAAATGTTTTGTCCATAACAACATTTCGAAGAGATTTAATTTTTACTTTTTACATCATCAAACCCTTTTTGCATTGACAAGTACCATAAATAAATCAAACTCCGAGAGAGATATAGTAATTTTACGAAACTTTTCAAGTAGCAATTAAACGTTTACCTTGGTTTGTAAGAAACGTCTCTCCACCATACCACATGATCGCTTTTTTAACATGCAGAATGTTCCCGGCATCCTACATTTTTAAGTAGGTCTCGCAGACCCCCAATCCTGAAACTTAGAAACCGGTACGCTCTCTACGCCTTTCTCATACATCACGTTGAAGTATCCTAAGTCTGAAAATCAATTGGAGGTGATAGACTGAGTTTCATCCATTGACATTAAACTGTGCTATTTGTCTTATCTATTTATGCTGTGTTATGAATTGTGTGTTCAACTAACACGTGAAAGGGCCAAAAGGCTGAACGATGTAAAAAAATCTCCGAAAAAAGTATTTTGTTCTAAAGAAAAAATGAAACGCTCACAACGCAGACAATTTTGAAGATATCATGAAGTGACCACTTAGCTTTGGTGGCCACTTATCCCGTCGCACCTTCCTACTGCAAGTACCCGAAACATTTAGATTCATCAGTAAACTGGGGCACTTACGTTCAGCATTGATTTGCAAATAGACACGAAACAAATGCAGCTCGACTTGTAAATCGTGCTGCCGAGGACTTGACGAAGAGCCAGCCCAGCGCTATGAACTCGTTTCGGTCGTTGCTGAGATCTCCATCAGGGCGAGAGGCCGTTCCCGAGCGCTTTCGCACTTGGGAGCACCGGGTGCAGAGGGGCAGTTGCGAGTGCATG